AGCTAACAGGAATGAAAAGATCCCCAAGAGCTGAAGTGTAAACTGAATGGCATCTCTCTACAGGGGGCTGCTTCTTACTGTGGCAGGCTTAGGTAAGTACTTTCTCTAGCTAAAGAAAATCATTGCAGCTCATTGCACCAGTCTAGAGAGAAGAACAACATAAAAACTCTGCTGCCCAGTCAGGCTGTGAGCTAGGTAGGAAACATCACAATGAAGAGCAAATGAAGACTTGGCTCCTTTCCCCAGTATTCAGAGTGCCATAAACTAATCTACCTTTTAAAATATGCCTAAATTTGTAATCTCCAGAGGCTCTTACTGAAGATAAGTCACTCCACCTCAAGCATTATGTAACATTAGGCAAAAATATTAGATTGCCTGCTGTCTTGCAGGACTGAGGTTTCTTAAAGATGTGAAGTCCTAAAGCCATAGAAGATGATATATTAGGAGGAAAGAGAAAGACTAATTTGGATTCCAATTTAATTGGAATTTGATTTTTCCAAAAGTAGTTCACCCAAGAAACTCAGACTGATATCAGACATGCTGTTCTGCTTGTTGTTAGGGCTGGTGAACAGGTTGCTGCACCTGTCCAGACCCCCAGGTACTTGGTGCAGCCATCCTGCCAGAAGTTATTATTCAAATCAAGATGTTGTTTTTGCTGCTCCTCAGCATAACTTTAGAAAATCTGTTACTGCAAACACATTACCCAGCCAGGCTCATTTTAATAGAGCTGTGTGAGGGAGCAAGAGCATACCCACTACTGAAGAGCGCTTGTATGCCTAATATGTAATCAGCAAACTCCAATGCCTTTGAAATAGAAATAGGTGATGGGCCATCTCATTTGAATCATAGCATCTGATCTGCAAACAAAATCCTTTGAATTAATCAAAGATTTAAAACAAAACATAAGTACCTATCCTTTTAACATGACAGCAGGGTGCTCTCTCTGTTCCGTTAAGCGCATATAATTGGAGTCCAAGATTGCACAAGCTTCTACATCAATTTCTACTTTGTTTTTCAAAGCATTCTGAAAAGACAGAATGAATCAGAAAAGAACAAGAGGCATGCGGACTGGTCCTCAAAGTACTTTTTAACATTCACTGAGAAGAGAGAGTTCAAAGGCAAATACTGCACAGTAAAAGCTTCCTCCCTTGTTTCTGTTTCTAGAGAATTATCTTGTATTCTGACCCGACTCAGAGCAATGTCAATGAAAAATGAAGGCATTTCTGTGAGCTGAAACAAGAGTAGACTAACAGCTTAAAGTATTTTCTACACTGTTTGGAAACAATTTCAAATAAAAACAGAAGAATCTTTGACCTTCAAGAGGAAAAGAAAAGTGTGGCAACTTCAGACTCCAACCAGAAGACATAAAAACAAGAGGAAAGGGTGTGAAAAAGTTAATGACAATAATTACAGTATTAACCTTTCCTTTAATGATGTTAACTCAAAACATGAGCTCTAAGTGTTCATTTTTACCTTTAAGAATTCTCTCCTTTACTGATAATAGAATTTGCTGCTTCAACTGTTTTGTTAGAAATGGTTTGAGAAGAAACTTTTCTTAAATCCATCGACTTATTATTACCCTGGTTGTGAAACTAAGTCCAGGTACCTGAATGCATCTATACCACAGACAAAGCACTGACTGTGGAACAATAGAGAAATTCCTGACCTAACCCTGAATTAGCTATTTCTGATACTAATCTTACCACATACACACAGTACATATAAGGACTAATTTAGCCAAAATGATATGTCATACGTCTACTTTAAACTTGTACACATCTTCAGTCATCTTAGAGCAAGAAAAATGTTTTTACATTTTGAGCTTATCATTCAGGAACTGATTCAGAAGTTTGATTTTCTGCCAATAGCAGCAGAAAACAGCTGCCAAAAGACTGCAAAAATCTTAAACTAAGGAAGTAATATAACCTGCTTACATCTCATTCTAATCTTTCAGAATAGTTTAAATCCTGGAATGTGGAACTTTGTAGACCTCCTGACATTTGTCTCCAGTTTCAATTATTCCAGGGAAATTATTCCTCCAGTGTACATTCAATTCTTTTAAGCAAGAACACATTGCTTAATATATTCAGTTTAAATTATTTTTGTAGCAGTGAGAGCTCCATGGTTCACATGATTCATAACAGGTCAAAATATTAAAAAAATGTTAATGTAGCAAATTCATTATACAGAGAAAAGATAATGGTTCACAAGGGCCTCCTGGAAATTTGGTAGAGATTTTAAATATCTGATTGAGAATATTTAGGCAAAAGATTTATCAAAGAGAATATACAGACCCTAGTTTTCATTAGTGGTTGTATTACACAGAGTGTGGTAAATCCCACAGAGGTTGCTGTATATTGTAAACAAGACTTCCAAGGTAAGAATAAATGTATTGGCTTAAATTTGATCAGTAGTAAATCTTTTATGAAAGGCAAAATGAACACCTGAGTACAAAATTTATTACAGGTTTGTAAAATTGCATCTAAAAGCAAAAAGATGATAGAAAGACTTCTGAACTACTGCAGTAATGAAATCTTTCTTGATTAAGTATATGCCTATTCCCAAACCTGAGATCAAGGACTGCATAGGTTATCGAATAAAATTTCCATTTTATGTCCAGTTTTACCTCTATTTACATTTCTACAAACTTTCTCCTATCCATTACAGGCAGATTCCTCCATTTTATATACAAAAACTGAAAGTAAAGAATAAGTGATTATATAAAATAGTGATGTGTTTTATAAAATTGGAATTTCCTTCTTTTCCAGCAGCAATTAAACTTAATATCTGACTGCAGTTGGTCTTATATTAGTTTGTTCTTATTATCCATGAAGACATGAGCCAGAAAACAAAACCAAAAACCTTACATTTGTCTTCTAAACATATTACGATATTAATCCCAGTAGCACTCTTTTACATTGAATTTCACTGAATATTTTTTGATTGCATTCAAATAGTTTTCCTCCAGGCCTTTTTTTTTTTTTTTTTCTTTTTTTTTCTTCTTCTCCTCCTGAGTTATCATTTCAATTAATTTCACCAGGGGCTGTAGGATGTGCTATGGATACTGAATACTAGCATTAGCTCTTTAATGTATATGTCCCAGGTATGCTTACAGTCATATGCATCTTTAATCATACTTAAAGAATATAAATCACTGACAAATATTTAGCTTATTGAATAGACTGTTGAAATTAAACTGCCTTTCAGATATAAGACTTCCATTGGGTCCAAAGTTAGGTCCAACTACAGGCATGTGAGCAAGAGCTCCTCTTGCTTTTCTTTGTGAAAGACAAGCATGTACAGACATAATTCACTACCTACGTTGCCTATCTTCACTTCAAAAAGTACTGAGAAGTAATAAGCACAAGAAAACTGACTAATTATAGAAATCCATAGCAGGCTTTGAAGATACTTATTTGTATCAGTGCAATGCAGTCCCAGTATTTTTCAATAATCTGTAATTTAAAAAGCACTAGGCAAAGCTATTTCATAGAGCTACGCATTTTGCGTGAAGTTACTAAAGTGAGCCTGAAATTTTCCAGAAGTATTAGCCGGCTAGCTTGTGCTCTAACTGATAATGAGAGGTGAACTGTAGGGCGGAGAACATTTAGATTCCGATGCTGAAGGAGAGAGCACAAAGCTGGTGGCATTATAATGCAGACTGAATGTCTATTTGGAGCCAGAATATAAATAGAGATAAATATATCCCCAGGGAACAGATTCTTTGGATTAGGGAGGGTGCAGGAGAAATGGGAGTGGGGGGGGAACTTAAAGACCTTTCCTACCTCATGGAAAACTTCACAAGCTTTTTCGCATTAATAAAATGTAGTTGGTTTGTTGCAGCTGAGGTTCTAAAGCTATTCATCTCTTGGAGCTATGAATTCAAACGAGAAGTCTGTCCTTGAAGGTGTATTACTTTGACAGTTTAGTTACTTTAAAGCTTTTCCCCCCACCCCCACGAGAAGTTAATATTAAATTTTTGGAATTAAAGTTTCCTAATGTCACCAGCTAGCAATATAGCTTGCTAAGGCAACCCATCAATTATGCCTTAGACATCCTGTTATATTATTTGTAAATGCAGGTATGGCAGAGTTAAAGAAGATCTCGTCTGATCTAATAATTTCTTTTCTAGGGAAGTGAGAAAAAAAAAAAAAAGAAAAAAAAAAGGAGAAAAATACACAAGTAACTAAAAACATTTGCATGTGTACAAATCTGTCTAAAAAGGTTTGCTAAACACAAACAGTAAGTACCTTAGAGTATACCAATATAGGCATCCAATTTACTGAATTGTGTTGTTTATATCACCTTCTATTTCACTTCAGAAAATGAAAAATGGATTGCTTTGTGTAGGAGAATAATCCAATCTGCAGTGGCATAAACACCAAAGGAAATGTTGCACCCAGCTTCTATGAAAGAAACACATCCATTGATTTTTTAGTTATGGTAATAATGAATGTAATAAATTGCACCCTAAGACACTACAGCTTTCTTTGGCTGAGGAAGCACTTTCATATGAAGTTATTCTCAGAGTGTTATCTAACTAGGTATCCATGTGTTTTTAAGCTCAAATTATTCTTCACATCAGCCTCATTAGCTCAAAAAGTAAAGAACTTAGTCCAGTGTTTAACCCCTATCACATCTTCGAGAGTCAGTGCTGTACTGAAACTAAATGATATGAAGAAACTGGTGAACTAATAGATTATATTTAGTAACATACCATCCAAGAATTCACCCACTCTGCAAAAAGCAAGGGGAGGGAGAAGGGGGAGGAGAGGAAGAAAGAAAAAAAAAAAAAAAGAAAAGAAAAAAATGCCCCTCTTCCTTCTCTTCTTCCAGCCCTGATTAAATTCACTTTTGTCAGAAAGCAACACACCTGTGGCCTCTCAGCTCCTACTCTGCTTGTCATCTGATTTCTGTTTCCTAATCTCAGACACCTGTGCTGGTGTAAATTAGCACTTCATGGGAGCTCTCTGGCTTTCTGACACCTGTATGGTCTGACAGGTACTCCAGCAGAGAAAGAGGAGCAGTAGCACTGCATTTTCCCCTTTATCTCTCTGTCTTGTATAACTTCACAATTGGTTTAAGCCAATATAAATGATGTGGCAGAAACACTGGGCTGGTGTGGGGAATGTGTATCCTGACCTGAAGAAGGGAACATTGGACCTGGATAATTGAAGGGACTGATAAAATGTACTCACTGCTCTACAATGAAAACATTTGCTTGGCCCTCTCCTCATGTTTTCTAACAGGTAAATGCAGAGCAGCCTTGCAAGCAGAATTTTGACTTAGTTAGTAAAAGAACTATGATGTGCTTACTTTATAAAGCCTCCACTAAGGGAGTCCATGCACTTCTCTGTTACTCCAAGGTATTACGAGGGCTCTATAAATGCAGGCCCTGACTGCCCCCTAAGCCTGTTCACAGCCCTTTGCTGTACCCTCAGTTCATCATAACCTCAGGGCCCAGTGTCTCCAAAACACACACAGTTTGTGTCAAATTGGCACAGTGTGCCAAAATGTGGCACAGGAGGGACCTACCAATTCCTTCAACCTGCAGGCACCTTTCTCATGCTGCCTATGCCACTTACAGGCAGCTTTCTGCACTGAGAGGTAACGCTGCTGACAAGAGCCCACATCATCCTTTTTCCAGGTTGTATCAACTGACTTCAGTTTTGTGTGCAACAAAGAGCTCCACAAACCCTACTACTGCAGTGATACCACCAGAGGCGAGCCTTCTGCTTCCTGACGTGGCTCTCTTCCGCCAGCAGTTGGGTCTGCAGTGAGAGGGGCCCATGGCAAGGCACCAAGACTCCCCCGGGTAATATGGCTGGTGGTGCCCCTGGGTCCCTGTGGGGTGCTGCAGGCCCAGACCCTTACAGGAGCACCCAGGCAGCAGCAGTCTTTTGTAGACTGAATTAAAAGAGCCTATTGTAAATTGGCATAAATTCATATAAAGTAATTCCTACACAGTGTGACCACTCTGTTGTGCCAGATGGATGGTCCAGGATCTGTGGCGTAATGGGGAATTGGGACATCGGTGTTCAAAGTACAGGGCTCTGCACGTATGGCTGCAGGTAGGCCAAAAAGGAGTTTATTACCTTTCCCCCACGGCACTGCATTTTTCTCACTTATTAGACTTTGTAGCTTAATATGCAATCAAATGAGGATCATAGAGCCATTTCCCAGCTCCTCTGCCAGGGAAGCCATAGGCATGGCAAAGCACAGAAAGCAAGCTGCGGTTCTAGGTCTTGGGAGCAGAGCAGTTACAGGTTGCTTCATTCTATTGTAATAATTACCTTAACTTTTGATTCAGGCAGTGATTATCTCAACACTATTCCCTTTGAAATTGGTGAAATAGAATTGATCCAAGCTGTTTGCACATGCACCTGTCCCCTCATGTGCCTGGATCCAGCTCCCACTGCTTGCTGTGTCTCAGGGAGCCTCTGATGCAATTTTTTTCCACTCTGGGAATTACAAAAGAAGGGTTGAGGTACTCTTTCAGTGAAATGCTCTCTCTTCTGTCATCTACATAGTATGGCACCTCACTTTTTGGCTATGGTAGTGACACAGGCGAGAACATGAAATAAGGTTTTGGATTTTAATTAGTGTGGTTAGAAAATTGGATAAAAATGCAATTTAAGATGTGTCTGTTCAGGGAAAAAAACCTTGATGACAGCAGAGAATTGGACTCATAATGTACTATTCACATACAACTAATCTCCCTAACTCTGAACTGACGAGGATGGTTTTCCAGTAATTTGAACACCAGATGGTTTCAGCTCTCTGAATAATACGAACACTTGTAATGCAATTCTTATTGTGTCTGTTTATATCTTCATTGTAGCTGAGTCAAGTTTCATTATAAGTTGAGAGCAACTTTCTCAACAGAGAAGGAGTCCAATGTGTCCTTCATATTGTACATGTACTTCATAGAATCACAGAATGGTTTGGGTTGGAAAGAACCTTAAAGATCACCCAGATCCAACATACCTGCAACCCCAACTCCTTCAGCCTATCTTCTCCAGCCCCTCGGTCATCCTCATGGCCCTCCTCTGGACTTGTTCTAACAGGTCCATGTCCTTCTTGTGCTGGGGACCTCAGGCCTGAATGCAGGACTCCAGGTGTTGTCTCAGCAGTGCAGAGCAGATGGGGACAATCACCTCCCTTGCCCTGCTGGCCACACTGCTTTTCATGCTGCCCAGAATAAGGTTGACCTTATGGGCTGCAAGCACACTTTGCCAGCTCATGTTGAGCTTTTCTTCAACACCCCCAGATCCTTCCCCTTGGGGCTGCCCTCAATCCATTCTCCACCCAGCTGGTATTGGTGCTTGGGATTGCCCCAGCCCAGGTACAGGACCTTGCACTTGGTCTTGTTGAACTTGATGAGGTTCGCAGAGGCCCAGCTCTCAAGCCTGCCCAGGTCCCTCTAGATAACATCCTTTCCCTCCAGTGTGTTGACCATACCACACAGCTTGGGGTTGTTGGCAAACTTGCTAAAGGTGCACTCGATCACACTGTCCGTGTCACTGACACAAATGTTAAACAGCACCAGTCCTAATACTGACCCCTGGCGAACACCACTCATTACTGACCTCCGCATGGACAGCTGTTGACTGCAGTGTTGACCACATGCATTTAGTAGGTTTGGTGAACAACAAGGTAGAGAAAAACCCCTACTCCTCTGCTCCAAGTGTGCTCGTCAACACTGTGAGGTCTAACCAGCAACTGGTGATGAGTACTGCTCCGCGGGCTTTGATACTAGGACCAGTACTATTTAACCTTGTCATCAACAACCTGAACAGGATGAAATGTATCCTTGTCAAGTCTGGGGAAGACACCAAAATGTGGTGAATCAATACACTGAAGAGCAGGCCTGTCACTCATAGCGTCTTGGTGAGCTAAAAGTGTAGGATAGCAGAAATCTCATGAATTTCAAGGACAAGAGGAAAGTCTTGAAGCTGGTGCAGAATGAACCTGTGCAGGTTGTGGACTGACTGGCTGGGGAGCAACTCTGCAGCAAAAGACCTGACAGTGCCAGCACCCATGAACATGGCTTGTCAAGGCATCCTTGAGGCTCTGGTCCTGGTACCGACCCCTAAGAAATGCCATTTGTCACTTGTCTCCACCTGGATGTACTGCGTCCAACTGTTCAATGAAGTACCCAAGTGGCAACTGGCAATTTTCAAGTGCCACTGAATTCTGTCACCAGACTTACTTTACTTTACTCTGTACTGGTAGCCCTATATGATGTTTATGTGAACTGAGAACTGTAGAAGACATGCAGGGACATGTCATGCAGTGCCATTTTATAAATGTTTTAGCTCTTTCTGAGCAAGTTTGTATGCCTACATGGAAAAGCATGAAGAAAATAGCACTGGTTACAACCAAGTGAAGTGGTCTACATCTCTTGCCATCCTCAGTCAACTTCACGTTAGTGAAATATCGTCCCGTTGAGTCACACCCTCATATCCTAGCAGTCACATTTCTTATTCTAGCAATCGCATTTCATGACCTGACAGTTTCAAACCTATCTTTGTCCGAAGTTTAAAAAAAAAATAAATGGAGACAGAAGTATTAATTTTGAGAGCAGACTTTAACTATGTAATTTGTACAATAAATTCAATAAATTACTACTCTACAATTGAGATAGCCAATCACTGTCTTATTTTCCAAAGACTTCTCTGCCAAAAATGTTTAGTTTTTCAAATAGATCAGAAAATACATTATACTTAGAAGGAACTGCAGACTCATGATCTCACTTGGCTTAAAGCTAAACCCATGTTTTTCACTTGATCCTTTCATTATCATCCTACCAACAATGCAGACCTCCAGAAACAGAGGTGATTATTTGTTTAATTTGTATTGTTCAGATTATTATGTTTATTTAGTGCATTTTTGCAGGTAACCCGTGTGTGAATGGACTTTAAGATGCTGTCTGCAGTCAAGTAGCCTATTTACAATGTTGGTATTAAATTACAGGCAGTAGTTGTTGCAATGTTCCTATACAATATGCTCTATCAGCATGCCAAGAACACTCACACTGAACTTAAGGTGGGTATGATTTAGTTAAGAGACTAAACAAATGGAATAAAACAGTGGGCATCCTTAGTGAATGGTGAGATTTCACATTGACCCATCACAACTCCTTAGTTACTGGGGGATGTTGGCATGTTAGTGATAGAATGGGTAAACACATTAAATATATAGAGAACTATCTAATGATGCACATAAAATCAGTAACAATTCTTGGTGCACTGAGTTTTACTGGTCAGGTAATGAGTTTCTTTTTGAAACCAAACACATAGAACAAGAGGGGCAGAATGCCACCAGACCTCTTGCCTTGTACTGTGTATTGCTGCCTTCCAGCTACCTCCACATCTAAAAGCTAGGAACAACATAACAGAATAACAACATCCTAATCAATCAATCAAAACAAACAAACAAACAAACAAAAACAGCCTGCTGGAGTTAGGATAAACCCTCAGTTCCTCCTCCTCCTCCATGCAAAAGTTGAATAGTTTACTTTCCTTCTTCTTTCTTCCAGTTCATCTTATTTGTATCCTCTTCAAATTGTCTAAACAGCACTGATGCAATGGGAAGCAGCATTCTGCCTGAAATATCTAACTGTGTGGGAGGAAAAAAAGCCTTTTTCCCTTTATTTGTTTGGAACTAGGTAGTAAGTTCTACTCAAAGTTAATTCCAATGTCTAATAGTGCTCATTGGTCTACAGGAACTGGTGTAACTTCTGACTTAAACCCCCAGTAATCAAGATGAAATAGTAAGCATTCATTGAGTAGTTAAATCTATTTTCTGGTTAATTCTGCCACTAACCACAAAACAGCTGTACTTTGGTTAAAATAAATAAATAAATAAAAATAAAATAAAAAGCAAATTGTTCCCAGCATTGCTGCACTCTGTTGCTTGTATGTTCAGTCATAAGCACACAAATTTCAAACCATTTGTGTTTCTTTTTTGGTTCTAGGTTAATGTAAGATAATGTTGGTCACAGGTGTAAGCAGTGCAGAGGAAATACTGAATAATACTGAATACTGAATCACTCTTATCATTACTCTCAAGTGCTGCTGTTTTGCAGTACCCTGTGAAAAACAAAGTCTCCAGTTCTCCAGGGTGTACTGCATGGACGTATTAGTATTCCCTTTCCAACATGGCTCTGTGTCACTGTGGATGAAGGCAGCTGTTTGGTTAGGTGTTTCTGCTGTTTTCTCAGTGATAAGCACATCCACTGTAATTTCTGCAGCAGGCTGAGAACTAATTAGGCAGCAGTGATATTCTCCCTCAGTGTCACAGAGAGGAATATTCAAGAGGCTTTTTTTGGTGTAGAATTCTGATAGAAAGATAAAGCCTTAAGGTGGCAGATGTCTGGCTTTCAACCCTCACTTTGAGGTATGCAGTTTACTATTATAGATTGTCTCAAAACTGCCATACTCCTTTTGTTTTGAAATATATATATATTTTTTCCATCACGATGTCTGCAGACAATGGAGAGATAGTTAACACATACCTAAAATGCATTTTTCCAGGGTTTTTGGCTTCCTATTTTTTATTATTTGGTTAGCTTTGGGGAAAATGACCACAATCCAAAAACAAAACATGGACAAAACAAAACAGACAAAACAAAACAAAACAAACAAACAAAAACTTAACCAGTCCTTATGAGGATTTAGTAAAATCAATGGAAAAAAAAAATTCAAAAGCCAAGTTCGTGTGTGTTTGCTCATAAGAAGGACCTTGCAACTTTCTTTACCAAGTAGTTTTCATGAGGAGTTCTACAGATACTTTTAACAGTACCAGGTAATTTTCTTGCATTTGTGAACAGAGATGCATATTTTGATATGTAACACATATGAAAGTAGCACGTTTGGTACAATTGTTAAAAATAGCTCACAGGCTCTTCTTGAAATGAGAATTGATTTCCTGGCTTTTTACATGTGGGACAAACAGACAATAAAATACTGTCAGCCTGATCATTTTATGAGAGTTGATACTGAGGTAAGAGTGAGGTGTCTGCTAA